CTACTACTTCTGCTACTGCTACTGCTGCTACTGCTACTGCTGCTACTGCTACTGCTACTACTACTACTACTACTACTACTATTACTACTACTACTACTACTACTACTATTTTCAAGAGTAAAGAGTGGTGTCTTATACTGTTACTAACAATTTCAAGACAATCAATGCCAATTGCACCATCGACACGATGACGCCAACACATCTATGCCGTATACCACATCTCCTACCACACGTCGAAAAATAGCCATCAGCTGTTCTTGGATTGAGGTAGGCCTGGCCTTTGGACCCGAACGGAGTCAATTCCTTAAGTTCCTTACGCAGCCACTGATCGAAGGGAAGATGCAACACAACATCCCCCATCTGAGTCATGGGTCCTCAACCCCTGCCTGCGCTCGATTGGCTGCGTTTCTGGGCCCATAGGTTGTCGCAGTTGCCTTTCCAGTTGGGCTCGCAGCCCGTTGGGAAGCTCCACCTCTGGATGGGGAGGAGCGCCACAGTAGGGTTCCAGGGCATTCGTCTGCATAGTCTGCATATGCATGGGTGAATCCTGAACCAAGTTGCTTTGCTGTGGCAGCCGAGCAGAGAAGCGGCGCTCCACTTGCGGATAACCCGCCATAGTGACCAAATCAAGTGAAGGCTGCTTGAAAAGCTGCTCTCTCCTTTGCTCGCCGTGGTGATGTATTTCAATGGAATGAAATATGAAATGGAACTGGCAAAGCTGCCGTTGCTGCTGCTCGAAGACGCATGTTTAGGCAACATCAGACAGCGAAGGTCGAGCCGCAACTTGCAGAAACGAGCAATGCCAAGCAAGCACCGAGCTGTGCGACTCTTAAACGACCCGGCCCAGCTTCCGGGCAAGAAAAGGCACTCCCACAAGCACTGCCGCTTACTGTCCTGGCCTCTTGCACATCAGGACCGCTCCAAGTTCCCATCGAGTTGGCTTTGATAGCATCAGGATTAACTGATTAACAGCTTTCCGGCCATGCAGGAAAGCTGCTGCAACCTTGAACTATGCTGCTATTCATTCTATGAATGCGCTTGAGCAGCTGCAGCCGTCCTGAAGCACCTGGCCCTACATCGCTGGGTTTCGCATTTGCACAGCGGGGGTAATTACTTATCATAGATTGCAAGCATGCGCAGGCAGGACAAGCGAATCTCAGCAAAAATAAAGTTTGCGGCAAGTGCATCACACACTGCAAACACGAACGGCGTCTCGATGCATGTCACTCACATGTCAAAGGCTGGGGGATATGAATTCAATTCTTGCATTTGGTTTGAGCCTGCTGCTCGCTACGACCGCTACGACAGGGATGATTATGATGTTTAGTTAGATGCCTGCCCTGCCGGGCTTCGGCATGGTCCCGGAATCTATGGAATCACGGAGTTTGGCTGCCCTCCCGTAAACATGCTCTGCGAACATCCTCTGCAGTCTGGATCCAGCTGTCGTTCAAAGATGTCCCGAAACTGACCTGACCACAGTGCGCCGATGCTCCACAGCAGCAAAATCGCCCTAGCTGGTCGTCGATTCTCCCCTGGCAACTGGCAACAGGACCTGTCATTTGATCAGTGAAACTGATTTCTCAAGCTTGTCTCCATCCACTTCCATGCCCCTACACAGGGATGACACAGGCCAGCTGGGCACCATGCATCCAACCCCTCGAAGCTTCGCCCAGACACCTCCCGGACGCTGGGGTTTAGTAGAAAGGAGAGCCGGAGTGTGGCTCGATTCAGGTGGCACCGCGATGTTGTCCGCATTCATCCGAATTCCTCAACCTCTAGCAGCTACTCTATTAGCATCTTCGGACGGAAAACTCCGGATGCCCCCAAGGCTGGTGTGAGCCGTTGAATGGAAAATAATATGACCGAATGCTGTATATATTGGTACAGGATGGCTGTACTACCATGCAGGGTGGCACCCTTGTGTTGTCAGGAAATAGAACTATCGTGTAAGACTACTTCACCTGTCAAGCTTTCCGATGCAAGATATCTATGGTACAAAACCCTGCAATATACGTTCTCTGTGGCGCATGATCTGGACAAGCTGCAAAACGTGAAGCATGCTTCTGGAGTCTCCGTTGCTCAACTGACATGGGGATGCTTCTACGCCGCACATGCGGAGTGCAGGGCCTCTACATGGGCTCATGGGCTAGTGGGATGTAAGCATGGAAGCTGCGCCGAAGACCGACAGCCTCTGCCGAAGCCGAATAAAACCGAAGGACCCCAACTTCCAAAAATCCGAGCGCAAATTCCCCAAAGCCTTGCCGCGAACTCCTGAAACCCAGGGTGCCTCGCAGAGAGCACGGCCTTTGGCCACGGCATTCTGAACGGCATCGGCACCTGCCTGAAAACGAAGACTGGGTCTACGATTATAGGGCCTATAATGTGAAGCTAACCTTCCAGGTGCGAAAGCTGACGTAACAGGTGCACTCAGCAGCAGTTCACACATGTCCTTCTCAGCATCTGCCAGCCGCTACGAACACCGGCCTTGAACGTTCACCAAACAGAACAAGAGTGCCGCCAGGAAAACAACGAAACACAACGTTGTAATTGGAGGGAGGTTTCCACAAGCGAGGACGCCACGGCTTTTGAAGATAATGTCGACATGGCTGCTGCGAACCGATCATGCTGCGATGAACACGGTGCGAAACTGCAGAGATCCTCTGGTCAAAACAAATCAAAAACGGAAAACAACTCTACATCACATCAGAAGGGTCAAGGTTCAATCTCAAGAGATCTCAAGAGCAGCTTTAAGACACCGGGACTCAGAAACACCATAACAACTAACAGGCTTGACAATTACGGTTCGAGGATTAGGATTGCGCTCCTATTCGTGCCTGCCTGTGCCGCACGCACCCAGTCAGCGAGCCTTGGGGGTGCGGGAGTGTTCCTCAATGTTTCTTCCTTGTGAGCATTTACATATATCTGCAGATATGACACGCAATACACGGCCCATTCATATGTAAGCATGCGCCATACAACCGATCACGGAGTTAGGCGATCCACGTGTCTCACCCATCTATGTCCGCAGCAGGATGACTCAGCGGGCCAAGCACAGGCTTTCGGATGTCCCGAATAAGAGACATACAGGCATTGTCGACTTTATCTATCTCGAACACGCATGGACCCAAAAACACTTACATACATGCCTAGCACAAAAAACATGGTACAGCATAACAGGATAAAATCATGTCAATGTCTCTCTGTGTGTGTTATAATATAAATAAATATACAAATATAATATATACATATATATGTATATATATATATATGTGTGTGTGTGTGTGTCTCTACCCATTCTGGAAAATTGAAAACCCTAAAGCAGAGCTCCTGGCGCTCCGGCCACCAGCGCTTCAGCTTCGGGGCGTGCGAGCTTGGTCGCACTGAGGGCCTTGAGCTCCTCAAGATTCAAGAGTTTAGGCTCACGGTCAGGGTTTCCGGTCCGGGGGGTTTCCGCCCAGAACCACAACCACAAACGCAGCAGCTGCAGCTGCTGAATTTCTGAAAGCCCAACTCGCAACTGCAGCTGGTGGGTTGAGTGTAACCTGAGCCATGTGAGCACAGGCCGCCCTCAGCCCGCCGCCGATCGGAGTTCATCTGCTGCTGTGGCATTTCGTTGATGCCTTCGAGACAGCTCCTGCGGCATGACTGCACTTCAAAAGTGAAATCATCATAAACATCGACTCTTCTAGGCCCCAGGTTAGACCATACACATTGTGGCTCGTCGTGCGTTGCTTTATCTTAGCCATCAAGCCAAAATGTTTATGCTCCTGCAGTGCCAGTTTTTGGTTCCGAACCATGCCTGATTGGTAGAAAATCTGGAACCCTCGCAGAGGAAGCGGTGCTGCCCTGTCCTCCATTTTTCGTTCACACCTCATTGGGTGCAGCATACCGGGGACAATTGTGGTTTCTCTGTCTGAAACTGAATGGTAAGCTTTACGGCGGGCACAGGTAGGAAGGCCTATGTGTCGGGCCGTGAACATTGCCCGGGCATTTGACAACAGCTTCTCGATGCTATCGATTCCGGAATCAGCGACCGCTCTGCCGTGTTACTGGGAGCTTCGGGGCATTGGTTTAAGTGCTTCAACCACATTCCCAGACGAGGATGCACTATGCCCGGCGTCAAAACGCGAAGGCAACAAGATGCACCTTCGTGCCTCTGGGACAACAGCTCAATACTGGAACATTCGGTCTCTGGCGGCATGATCTGACCAAACCCGTAGGCCGCATAGATGTCAAGAGTACAGGCTGATTAAGCACACCAAGCGGACCAAGCGGAGAGAGTCCTGACTTTTGAGAACCTCCCGAGCGGGGAAGCAGCAAACCCTGCTTCCTCAGAACCCCTTGGAGGCTCCCATGAAGCGGTGGGGTGAAACTTGCACAGTCTCAGAATCACTGGAATCCGTGCCACTACCATTCTGCTGTCTGTGATCAGGAGCAAAAGTCGAAGCTCGGGAGCTTTGCGGCGTTACTAGGAAGCAGAAACCAACGGTTGGCGGATCAGGATGATCAAAGCTGCTTTTGTGAGCAGGGATGCATGTTCAAAGCCGCTAAATCTCGAGTTGTCTTGGATTACGTACCCTAGCTCCGACAGAGGGAGGTCCTCAACCCCAGACACTGTGGGCTTCATGTCATCGGAGCTCAGCGGATGTCGCGGTGGATGACCTGCCGGAACTCACAGCAATTGCACTAGCCCTAGGGCCTCGCTTTCCTCGCGACCTCGGTCTCTCTCGCTCTCTTTCTCGCTCTTCCTATAGATCCCGCACCAGACGAAGCCCTGCCTCGGTTGTGGCTCCCGAGTATCTCGGTCGGCTGAGTCCATCGCGCCAAATGTCTGTGGAGAGGCTGTTCCTGAGTGGATTCATTGTTTAGGTCTCCGGTCTCCGAATTGTCTAGTCTCTGCCTCGCAAGTTCCGGTTACTTCCTGCCGAAGTCCTGGCTTAAGCGCTGGCCGTCTACCTTCTTGGCCGCATGAGTTTTATCTCTAATGGAAAGGGCTCGCCACGCTCGACTCGATGCCGATCGACATTTCTGGAAGTGGAGCCGCTCAATAATCGCTGCAGTTCTCTAAGCCAAGACTGCATTTCATCCAAAACTTTTCAAACCACAAGAAGCTGTGTGTCAGCACTGCAGAATCAAGGATGCTTATGTTCTCATATTTAGCCCCGGCATATGCCAATCGGGCAAGATAGATGTAACATGTGAGGCCGACAAGATGGTGCACATCTGCGTGTCCTGACCTGGCGCATCCGGATTGCCGGTACCGTGAGTCACCCCTGCCGAAGGCGCAGCCGAGATTCCGCACATTGTCCACCTGCTCTAAGCCCATGCAGAAGCTGCACGTGCGAGTCCGTCATAAACGTGTGAGTGTGAAGACACCCCCCCCCCATTTCTCAACCAAAGCATAGCAACGACAATCGTCACCGGACGGAGATGCAGCCGCACAGGTAACACAGGTTCACGAAGACTAACGCAACACGAACTGTAGACAAAGCCGGTAATTAGGAAAAGTTGTTATAAGGGTCGCCCTTGCATGCTAGAAATAGTCGCGACAGCGGCGCCAGCAGCACATGACATGAGTACTCATCATTGTTGGTAATATTACTGTATTCCGTGATGCAGGCCATCAAAGCTCGCAGCAAGTTGACGTTAGAATTGATAGTCTGAGAATGTCAGAATGGCACGACAACCATGGCCGCAACATTGCAAGCCACGGTCGCAATGACTACTCTGGCGCTGGCATGGTGACAAGGATGCCGATAAGGGGGTCGGTCAATAGAAATGGCGACCTTGTTGGCCTCTTGTTGTACAAGGTGATCGACGCATGTCAATGCTCATCGGAAACGCATTGTGGCACAAACATTCCCTGCTGACCCTGGCAAAGACAGGTGACGGATATATTGCGACAACCCAACAACCATAACATATTATCGCTGAAGATGCTAGCAGGGTCTGCTATCGTATACTTGTATAAGGATACGGTATGCTATTACTAGCCCTCTATATTACATGCAACCGCAAACGCACCTCAGAGAGGAGGAGCTGCCTCCGCAAGTAGGCCTCGACCGACAAAGCTTGAGGGCATCGTTTGGAGTTCGGCTAGCTTGGCGCTGCCTTTGTCCGGCCAATTTGGTTTAGGACATGACCTGGCGAGAGCGATAGTCGTGCTCGTTTCGTGGAAGCTCGGTTCCACGCATGTCTAGTCTTCCAATGAAGATCATTCCTGCGGTTTTGAGGCATGCGTAACAGCTATCAGCTATCTGCAAGCCAGCTTCTTCTATTCCCCCAAAGGTTAGCATCCACATCACTTCTCAATCCGGAGTGTAACGAGCCCCGAAACCAACCTTACAGCGTACTGGCTGAGTAGACACAGCTCAGTGGCCGCATAAAACATACAGCAGGAATCCGCCGCTGCCGGTAAAATTACAAACGACTACATGCTGCTGGCGGCTGTATAGTATAAGCTAGAGAATCAATGATACATGTAAAAGTTGACGAAAGGACACTCCTGAAACCGAGACTGAGCCAGTCCACTGCACCTCAGACCTCAGGAACGTTACACCGAGACAGTTCGACATGGAGGAGGCCTTGGAGGTCGTAGCTGAGTTTCGCATCTCCGCCTGCAGCCCAACTATTTTGGGCATTGATTGGTAAAGGCGGCTGTCTGACGCTTTTTTGATCTGTGTCAGCAGGTTTATGCAAACCAGTGTTAGAGCTTGTAATTAGTTGGCCTGAAACTCCCGTAAGATTCCTTTAAATGTATGGTCCGAAATGCACATGTAATATTTTCTTTGTCCCTGAAGAGCAAGCTTGTAAGTTTCCTGTCTGTACTGCAAGGTTCACGACGGCTTCGGGCTCTGTAATATCGGGCTGGGCTTCCTGTGGACGAAGCTTCGTGAAACCCATCTCAGCACCTGAAGACCGCTCCCACTCAACGTCCCGAACAAGTTTAAGAGATCGCGTTTAGCCTCTTCTGCACGGAATCCCAAATTGCCCTTCTAGGTGGTTCGATTCAGAAAAACGAAAACCCGGGGCTCTCTTTGGGAGCTGCTTGCAAGCAGGTGGCGGGTCGGTACTTCTCCTTGCAGGGGTAGGCTCGTTCACAAAGGTACAAGTTACCTTCATCTGGAATATGTACATAGTTGTCAAGGATAGTCGATCTGCACGCTCTGTGTGGCTGCGATGATTGCAATGCAATTCGGGAAGAGCTGGCCCCTGAAACACATACACAGATAGATTACATGTAGAGACTCAGAGACAAATTAACAAGCAAGCCGTGTGATTCCCCTGCATCTTTCGTTGGCTTTCGACCGGGCCGGGCCATGGGAGATGGGGGTCTGGTCTGTAGCATGCGGCTTTGGGAGAAGCACGTTTCGACGTATACTTTTTCCTCCAGATACCCGGCAAAGCCTAACGCATTGGCAACGGCCAACGGCCGTGAGTCTAAGCTTAGTCGTGTTCAGAGGTTAGGCTCGGAGCTGCTGCAGAAGGAGGGAGGTATGACTTGAAAGTTGCACGAGCATGCTACAGACCCGCTCCATCTCCCCCAGGAGCCGCAGGCCCTGGCCGCTGAAGAGCCCGGGCGCACGGACGAAGGTCTTGGAAAGCGCCTCCCATCGCTCTAAGGTTTCCAGCGCTTCCAAAGCTTTTATTTTGTTGCGATGAGCAGGCTCCGATTAGCTAGTATTCTTTGGGGGTGTTTTCTGGTGGAGCTTAAACAGCATTCGGTGGAAGAGGATTTGGAATGGCTGGCGTGCACATAAAGCCGGCCAATTTACAGCTTGCCGCTCAGGCAGTCGAAGCCGTTGCAAGCGACAAGAAGCACAACTTGCTGTAGTCGACTTATCGCTTTGTGTGAAGTACAGCTCAGGCCATCTACGCCTCATGTTGTCCGTTTAAGATGATTTGACTGATGAATACCATCCACCGGGATGCTTCAAACACTTCGGTACCAAGCGCAGGAGGAGATACTGTCGAACAGGCCCGTAGCCTTCGATCAAACCACGAAGCGGTTAAGTTCAGAATCACTCAATCGGTGACTAGCTCCAGCTTCCTGTTGCAATGGAGACCTGACATTCCCGACACTGAACAGCTGCGGGCCTTGTGCGAGGAGTAACAGGACCTGAGTAGGGGCAGCTACGTCATTCCAGCTTGTCAGTGTCGGATCCTCCGCACACTTAGATCAATTTCATCATAGACCTTGCGCCCTATGAGAACGAGCCACCAGCCCTGGCTATACTGCGGCTATAGTGCCCGCTGCAAACTCATAACCTCCTAACCAATGAAATTCAACCCCTTCAACCCAAAGCCCTAAACCCCTAAACCCAGTGAAGAGGCTGCACGGAACACTGAAATGCCAGATGCGCGGCGGGATCAGGTGACCAGGCCCTCCCGTCTCCAGGGAGGGCATAGACCGCGATGACGACAGGGCTGCGCGGGACTTCGTCCAACATGATAATTAGAATCAATGTTGACTGATAACACGGTAGTCACAGTCAGAGCCCAGAGCCGTATTGAAATGACATAACATGTACACGGGCGAATGAGCTGAACCATCTGACATGCTGTTTCGAGGCTTGCTTTTCGATCTGACACCTGGGAGCCTTGCTCTGTTCTTCTCTTGCAATGATCAACTGTGCAGAAGCGGAGGTCGGAAATCTTTGCACCGGAAATCTTGGCACAAGCTCTACTTCACCATACAGGGGAGTTTTGTCGCAGTTTGAGGTCCAATCAGATTTTCAGGGCTGCAGTGCAAAGGTGCCTGTCCTTTCTCTTCATTCCCAGAAGAACCCTGACCAAAGCAACACTCGAAATCCCGAAGCCCTTCGAAGCGACTTCTCACTACCCAGGGCCCTTCTCGAATTGAACTGCCAGTATACAAAGCCAGAGTAGAAACAGAAGCCCCCCGGCCCCCCTGCTGCCTGGTGGATTCTTCATGGCTCGAACCGGCTGAGCTCGAGCCGCAAACGCCCACTCCGGTCAGAAAATCGGTTTTGGGAAGGCTTTGGCTTTGTCCTCTGGACGCGATGCAGCTTCGGGCTCTCGGCTTCCATCTGGATGAATCAACACAAGGATCGACCATGCAAAAGTCTTGCTGGATTCGAGATGCTCCAAATGCTCGAACCTTGCGCCGCCCGACAATCCCAAAGCCAGCTCCCAATCTTGCAAACCCTGAAGCCCCGAACCACTACAGCATGAACGGCTTTGTGCCAAAGACCTCAGCCCGTTGCTCACGCAAACGGTCCTTCACATCTGACATAGCAGCCTGGCGTACAGGCTTGCAAGGTGCAGAGCAGACCCAAACGACTTCAGAGTGCTGCAGACCTTTTGGGCTTTTCAAGCAGAAAGGAAGGCTTTCGGTGGGTATCCGGAGTACGGGGCTCCGGGAAGGTTCGAGAACGGATAAGATTCTTACCGTGATTATGCAACTCCTGTCCTTTTGTCCCCGCTGTACCTCCTTTAGAGTATCCATAAACAATCCGAGCCCCTAAACCATGTCGAAACGAATGCCGCGCAAAAGAAAAGGAGCTCAACATCTCCTGGCCTCTTGGATGGCAGCCACCTGAGGGAGACTTGGCGTGTCCATTGCAAGCACCCCGCACCACGTACACTGTACATGTGTAATGACTGTAATGTATTGAAGGTTCACGCATGGGATTACCTGTCGAGACTGACAACTAAGATCAATCATCATGGTGACCTCTATGCAGGTTACAGGCAGAATCGACCTTAGAATGCCGGAATCCCGAAGCTTCTGGACCCACAACCAACGCAACCCAAGTCAGTCTTCGGAACACGAGGCTTGAAGTGATGTGGGTCTTTCTTCGATACTATCTTGACTGACGTCAACTGTTTCAGGCCTGCTCTCAAAACACAGCTGTATCCAATGAGCCAAAGCCTCGCAAAGATCCAAAGCCAACGACGCCGAACACAGACCTGTGCAATATACATATGTATATATACACATGTATATATATATATAAGTATATATTTATTTATTTATTCATTTATATACACACCTATCTATTTTTATTTAAAAGGATTTGATTTATAAACATGTTTATATGCAGACATGCATCTTTGCATGTGTGTAATTTCACGCCCAAGTGCATATGCGTGTACAGTCCGCAACGACCTCCCTACACCTACGGCTATATGTGATGCACACGAGGCATGTAGATCACTCTGTTAAAACCTGAAGAATCCCGAACCCTCAGCCCACTTGGGTGGCGGCATCGGCTCGGCTGACGAGCTGTTGGTCCGTAACCAAGGATTGGAGTCGCCTGCTTGTGGCTTTCGGGGCTCAGGGCTTCAGGCGTATAAGTTGTAAGAAGCTGTTAAACAAAGGTGGGTTCAACAGTCCAGTTGCTTGATCCACTTCTAATAAGCCAGTGAGTTGCAAATGCGCTTCGCTATTTGGACAGATGGTGCTTCTTGGATCCTACGGCTCACATGTTCGGTTTATTCGTCGTGCCTGTCAGGAAGAGCTTCTTATGCTTGTCATGACCTCTCGAGAGAAATCTTGTGCTTTCGGCTGTCACTGCAATGGTTTTGTCAGCGAGCATGAATTCATGCATGTTGCATGCAGAACTTCCAAACCAAATCATGTCAAAGCCAGGGCACCATCGAGAAATGACAGAACCCCCAAGGCGGAGCCATCTCTTTCACGAGAGCTCTGTGAATTTTAAAGTGCCGCAAGGGCCACGTTATCGTGGGAGCTTCTAAAAATTTAAAGTCAAGCGGTAGGGGTGAAGCTTGCTTCAACGATGCAGACCAGTGCAGCGCAAGGTCCATGACGCAGTATCCCACATGTCGGAAATGGATGACATTCATTGTGACATCCACTCCTGAGACCGGCCTGTTGACCTGTCTCTGAACAGCTGCATCGACGTCAGCCAAGGATGCCTCCACAAAGCCCTTACAGCCCTTCTTCTGCCGATTTCAGTTCTTAGCTGCCGATAACGCAGCACCGCGTTGCATCTGTTTCGCTAGGTATGAGATGTGAGACTGGCCCAACCCCAGCCGAGCCAGGTTCTTGCAAACTATGCCAGGGCCCGTCTATCGGTTCAGCCATCTTGTTCAGCATCAGCATCATTGTGGTTGCTGCCGTTCCCCCTAGGGTAACTACTTAGGTCGTCCGAGGATGTCGCGACTCTGGCATTATGCTCGGAACCTTTTGGGGCATGCGGGTTCCTGTGATTGAACTAAAGCTGTATACATGCCGCAGCTCAGCAACCCTTTCCCGACTCTATAGGTGTAAATCACCAGACACAATGTAATGTAGTGTAGAAGACGAAAAGAGCACCCCTAACACATCCATCCAAGTCAACCCGGTGGGCAAGCGTTCCCCCCTGGTTACCATACGCTGCGGCTTCAACACAGAATTTGTAATCAACCCTTTTCTTGTCACACCATGTAATCGCAGAAGCAGGCTGCAAAATCGGTCCTTCAAGAAACTGGTTCACACGATGTCATAAGATCTTCCCTCTCTGTAACCGCATTGCAGGCTCCTGATCCACATTGCCGGACATGCCCTGTGTGACAGTCGAAGCCCATGCTGCCATGCCATGTTGCGATTACAACTATGGCCGCCGAACTCTCGTAGCTTTTTGGCTCGATGTAATTACAATCTCACAACTCAGGAAGGGCTCAATGTAGTTAGATGCGCTGTGACTTCGGCAATGCCCTGTAGCCGCGGAATCTTTGCAGTACAACGTCCTACCTTCCCCTCCGCAACAGCCGCCAAAGAGGCAAAGTCTGCCACTGAAACCTGGCGACACATTGCTTTGGATCAAGATACCCCTCAAGGATTTCAGCACAGGCTCGACAAGATGTGGGTCTGACTGTCTGAGCGAAACCCTGCCCAGCACATTGCCATGTCATGTTGGACATGCTGCTGTCTGTTGACATCAGTCTTGCAAGACTCATGACATGTCATGAAGGTATCCCGCTGCTGTTTGTTGAAATCACTCCTGGACAAGTCATGAAGGCAAACCCGGCAGCCCAACCTCTGACTCCGGAGGTGTTACAGTCTGTTACAGTGTAGCACCAACAGCCCTGGCCCTTTCGAATCAACTTGAAAGCCCTAAACCGAAGCCCTCAACCCCAAGACCGCCCGAAGACCCTACACGTGGACCCCGGACAAGCTGCACTCTACCCACCGTCGCCTTGGACTCACAAAGCTTGTGCAGCCGCGCGAGGTGGCCCTCCTCCTTCGTCCAGGCCTGCAGGGCTGCGGGCTCTGTAGGTTCTACTGGTAAGGTTTTTGGAGGTACAGGGTAGGGGGTTCACACGATGAAGACTTTGGAAGGATGTGAGACTATCGGCTCTGATCTACTGATAGACAAACGGATGGGAAGAACAGCAAGTTCTTGCAAGCTGCCTGTAGTACGGGCATCACTTCAGTAGCAACTTTTCAAAATTTCACGAACCTCGCAACTGCAGCTGCGCAATTCGTGTGGAATGTCACCGCCCGGGCCGATTCTAGGTCTTGTGCTCCAAACTCAACATCATTCAAGCTGTGCACGAGTCGCGAGTCGCA